TATTATTATCTCTACACTAGAAATCAATCATGTTCTTGCAGAAACTAATGCCTAACTACAATATTTTGCACGGTAGTTGGGACTGCCCATGGCTCCCAATTAATCAAGAAGCTAGAAAACAAAGAAATATTATTAGTCATATCAAGGAAGACTTGCATGCTCATCAACACGTCGTGCATTTGGAGATGTATACTGTTGTTAAACTGCCATCATAAAGGTTCACTCAGTAAATAGTTATGATAGAATCTCACATCGATAAGATGTGATGATAATAAGTAAAATATAGATCTGGAGAATCATGAACTTAATAAGTTAGTTTTATGAGTTTTAAGAGTGCCATCTTAAACTAATATGTATCTAGGTTGAAAACATGTGTAACACAATAATTGACTCATCTAGTGTTTTGATGATAAATAGCACAAGCAATCATGTTGCCATTAAATATTGTTAGCAGCTTCCATAAGTTCTTTTCTTTTGATTTTTTTGATTAAATTCTTCTATTTGCTAAATACTGAATCATTCATTTCTACGCTGGCTTTTCAAAGGTTCAGATTTGTGGCCTGGTATTTGGGGATGGTGAAGTCATGATCGATATTGACTGGGAGTATGAGATCAAAATTGCATTGTAATTGCATGTCCTCGCTGTTTGGTTACTGGGAAAGTAGAGGAAAATTGAAGATAATACCTAGCCTCATTTCGTGGACCAAATGACTAGGATACATGCACGATCATGCAACCCCCCGCATTAAATCTTGTTGACGTTAGTGGAGGTGATGTCCTGTTTTAGGTGAAGAAGCCAAGAAAGCATTCAAGTCAAAGAACCCATTCCATGAGGCATTCTTTTCTTGCAAGTCATTGCGGAAAGAGTATCTCGGAATGAGATGTTCTTGACTTGTTAAAAGTCTTTGTATTTTACTCTATAGTTTTCATTTTTTTCTTTCTAATATTAGTTCCCAATACCTAGCCTCATTTCGTGGACCAAATGACTAGGATACATGCACGGTCATGCACCCCACTGCATTAAATCTTGTTGACGTTAGTGGAGGTGATGCCCTGTTTTAGGTGAAGAAGCCAAGAAAGCATACAAGTCAAAGAACCCATTCCATGAGGCATTCTTTTATTGCAAGTCATTGCTGAAAGAAAAGCTGGGAATGAGATGTTCTTGACTTGCTAAAAGTCTTTGTATTTTACTCTATAGTTTTCATTTTTTTCTTTCTAATAGTAGTTCCCATAGAAATTAATGCCTAACTATATTTTTCCAGGCTGGTTGGGAGTGCTTGAAAGAGACAGCTGTTGTAAGAAATTGGAAGGCTTGCACGCTAGTCAACATAAAAGACTTGTGTTCTTTTAAAGCTCCCACTATAAGGGTTTTATTGTTTTATTCACGAAAACTTGCAAAGAAATGAACATTCTTTTTTTAAAGTTTATTGTTATCATCCTCTTACTGTTTTTCTTCACTAGATTCTCATGTGGAATTGATATCATCAACTTATCCACCAATCTTAGTGATGGTGGAACCTTAGTTTCTAGTGATGAAAGCTTTGAACTGGGGTTCTTCAGTTCAGGAAGCTCTGCCAAGAGCCGTTACTTGGGAATTTGGTACAAGAATATCCCAGTTCAAACTATTGTTTGGGTTGCAAACAGGTGTAACCCGATTAATGACATGTCTGGCGTTTTGATGATAAACAGCACAGGCAATCTGTTACTCCTCAATCAAAGCAGCGGGAGTGTTGTCTGGGCATCAAACTCAAAGAAAGAAGCTCAAAACCCAGTAGTGCAGCTCCTGGATTCTGGAAATCTTGTTCTACAGGACAGAAATGCTGGTATTTTGTGGCAAAGCTTTGACTATCCAACTGATACTATGCTGCCAGAGATGAAACTTGGATGGGACTTACGGACAGGTCTTAATCGACAAATATTCGCGTGGAAGTCCCCAGATGATCCATGCCCAGGAGACTTAATTTATGGGGTAGTGCCATATAATAATCCTGATACTGTTATTTGGAAAGGCTCGAGAGAATACTGTCGGACAGGCCCCTGGAATGGCATTGGAATGAGTGGTGCACCCCAATTGAAGCCAAATCCGTGGTTTACGTACAACTTAGTCTCAAATGAAGAGGAGGTTTACTACATTTTTTTCCTCAAAAACAAATCAGCAATCACAAGGCTTATTGTGAACCAAACTACCGGAAGGTTGGAGCGCTATTTGTGGTATGAAGACACTCAGACTTGGACAGTGTCCGACCATCTTCCATGGGATGACTGTGACATCTATGGGACTTGTGGGGCATATGGGAACTGTGTCGGTACAGCACTACCGCCTTGTCAATGTTTAAGAGGTTTCAAGCCAAAATCGCAAGAAGAAAGCTCAGTGGACTGGCTTCAGGGATGCGTGCGCAATAAACCTTTAGATTGCCACGAAGGTGATGGGTTTATCAAATTTGGTGGGCTGAAACTGCCAGATACTGCACATTCTTGGGTGAATAAAAGTATGAACCTCAAGGAGTGCAGGGCTAAATGCTTAGAGAATTGTTCCTGTATGGCCTACACAACCTTGAATATTAAAGAATCCAGCGGTTGTGCAATTTGGTTTGATGATCTAATTGATCTTAAACAGGTCCAATTTTCTGGACAAGATTTATATGTTCGAATGGCTGCTTCTGATTCAGGTATTAGGTTAGACATTTCAGTATTTCCTGAAGTTTTGTTATGATTCCTCTTTATGTTGGGTGTTTCCAGTTCTATTTCCAGTTAATTTGTGAAACTATTTCGTTGCTACAATACTAATTCATGTATTTCTTCTTTGCTTTATTGAATTAGACCATGAAGAGACAAAAGGCAACACTAAAATGAAGGCAGGACTGATAATTGCAAGTACTATTCCTGTAGTTATTGGTGCTCTTGCAATCACCGCTCTTGTAATCACCTATTACATTTGCAGGGGCTGTCAAAACATAGAAGGCATGCTTGTTTGCGTTCACAAATCTTTTTGCCATTAAATATTGATAGCAACTTCCATTGGTTCTTTTCTTACAATTTGGTTTTGATTGAATTCCCCGCTATTTCAGGAAGAAGAAATGGCACGAGCAATGAAGGGCAAAATGAAGATATCGAACTCTCATTATTTGAATTAGCGGTAATATCCAGGGCCACCAATGACTTCTCTTCCCACAACAAGCTAGGAGAAGGTGGCTTTGGTCCTGTATACAAGGTAAATGTTCAAAGATGTAGTAAAAATGGCTTCCAGGATAAGAAGTATATATTTATTAAGAAATGAACTTTACAAGTACACTTTCCAGGGTACTCTGCCAGACGGAAAAGAAATTGCTGTGAAGAGGCTCTCCAGAAGCTCTAAACAAGGATTAGTAGAGCTTAAAAATGAAGTAGCACTTATAGCTAAACTTCAACATCGAAATCTTGTAAAGCTTCTAGGATGTTGCATTCAGGGGGATGAGAAACTGCTGATTTATGAATATATGCCTAATAAAAGTTTGGACTTCTTCATTTTTGGTATAGATTCCTCTTAAATCCGTTCAAATATTAGTAGTAGTAGGAGTATAAATTCATCAGATATTTTTGCCACATTTCTATGCAACTCTATCGAAAACTAGTTGAACACTACATTGATATGAAAAACATGTTAATGTTATAGACCATACAAGAAGAAATCTATTGGACTGGCCAAGGCGTTTTCATATTATTTGTGGAATTGCTAGAGGGCTTCTTTATCTACATCAAGATTCTCGATTGAGGATCATCCATAGAGATCTCAAACCAAGCAATGTTCTGCTTGATAGTGAAATGAACCCCAAAATTTCAGATTTTGGCTTGGCTAGAACGTTTGGAGGAGAACAATCTGAGGGAAACACAAGGAGGGTGGTTGGAACCTAGTAAGTCCTCTTTCTGTGCTACCTAATTTACTACAAAATCCCTATTAATATAATTTGTCTCAACCTAAGGGGAACACAAAGTGATGGTTGCAACTTAGTGAGTCCTCACTCTATACTAACTTACCACAAATCCCTATTGATATAATTTGTCCCAAATAATTTTGTTGCAGTGGTTATATGGCACTAGAATATGCCATTGATGGGCAATTCTCTATAAAATCCGATGTTTTCAGCTTTGGAATACTATTGCTAGAAATAATAAGTGGAATGAACAATAAGGGGTTTTACCATGTCAACCACAGTGTTAACCTTATTGGCAATGTAAGTATCAAGATTCAAGACCTCCTTTCTTACTTTCCTTGAACTAGAACATGACAGAAAGTTTCTACTATGTATTTAGGCATGGAGATTGTGGAAGGAGGGAAATCCTTCAAAACTAATTGATTCATTTGTAATGGAGTCTTGCAATCTATCTGAAGTATTAAGGTGCATCCACATTAGTCTGTTATGTGTTCAACAACACCCTGAGGATAGGCCAAATATGTCATATGTGGTTTTCATGCTGGGTAGTGAGACTGCGCTAGGACAACCCAAAGAACCCGATTTCCTTGTTGACAAGAAATCACTTGAAACAAATTCTTCATTTATCAAACTTGAATCATCTTCAACTAATCAACTTAGCTTGTCAATATTGGTGGCTCGATAAAGGCTTATTATTCGAATTCTACATGCTTTATGGTGCTGATAATATTAACTGAATAATGTGTACGAATGTATGCTTTACATATAACTTAACTATTATTTTAGTTTGAACTTAAATGTATTAAGGTAACTACTTTGTCAATTTTCTATTAGTCATGTATATATATATATGGTTGAATATTTGCGTCTCATAGTAGTGCATGTTTTGGTGGTTAAAAACTTAAATGATAATATCAATCTTTTATGCTTAGAATGATTAGTTAAAATACACTTAGCATGATGTTCCAAAAAAACAGGAAAAAAAAAAACGCTTAGCATGTTGTCTTTTTTTAGCTTAAGAATAATATATTTTCTTACGTTTTAAAATTTTATTTGGTTTTTTTATTTTAATAAAAAATATTTTTTTAATCTCTCTATTTAAAATTTTC